GTGTACTTCAAATGGTTCATTAGGCTGCTTCTTCCTCCATTTTTGTTCTAGATTGACCTATTATTGTACACTTATAACAAGATAATGTATCACTGGATTCTCTGGATTCTCCCACAAAACAGAGACAGTGTTCTCACTGAAATCTGTATATTTCTACAATAGTTCTGCAACCCCTAGGAGAGCTATTCAGAGACCTAAGTGGCAATAGAGTAGGGTTGGTACAGCAAAAGCTGACTGAAACTACTGTTATAATCTTATTTTTTAAAACCAATTTTCAGGAACATTCCACTTAATAGGCTTTCTTAATGGCCTTCTTTGTCATTTTGAGACAACACAATCATTTTATTTTTCTGCTTCTATACTGAAGGTTCATACTTTGTCTGGCTTCTCCTCCTCTATGTCAGCCTTAAATATTGGAGTTTCTTCCTAAATAGGTTCATTCACTTCCAAAGCTTTAAATGCCATCTTCTTACAGAAACTGCAGCATGGATATGCTTAGCCCTCACCTGTCCTCCCCATCAGATTAGTGCCAATTGCTTCCTTAACTTTCCACATGGTTGTCTTAGAAGTATCTCACATAGAAAGGTAAAAAGAAAACAAAACCAAACATTAATAAAATGATAAAATAAAACCACTGACAGCACCATTTACTGATGAAGGTGGAGAGCAACTGAACTTCCATATTTTTATAGTTTGTATAGCTTCTTACAACCACTTTCAGAAACTCCTTGTAGTATCTTCTAAAGATAGACTTACATACCCCTAAAACCTCCAAAGTCCACTCTTAGTAAATGCCCAAAAAAAATTCCTACAAAAAAAAAAAAAATCTCAATCACATGAGGCTCAAAACAGCTGATTTGCTGCTCTCAACCTCTCCCTCCTAAACTTCCTTAGCTAATCAAAAGCATTATTCAAACTATTTTGTAGCTTGCTTTCTGTCACCTGCCACATCCAATTCAACAGTAAGTCTCATTAGTGCCACTAACAAAGTATATCTCCATTTCCTTTCCATTTGCTCTTACACCATCCTATTTTAAGCCTCTATTACCTTTTTCTTGGGCTATTGCAATATTATCTCACTTTCCCCATATTCACTTCTTCCCAGCACACTTTAATTTCTCACACTTAACTGTCAAGTTAAATGTACAAATTGTAAATTACATCACATCACTCTTGCTTCACACTATTCTATGATTTCCTATTTCTATTGGAATAAAATTCAAACTCCTTACCAAAAATAAACAGTTTGTTATGCTCTCATTCCTGAATATTTCTCCAACTTCATTATTTATTCCATTTTTCTTACTCATTATTCTTCAAACACATTGGCTTTTTTTTTTCACTGCCTAAAACATGCCAAGTTCTTCCCTATTCCAAGAAATTTTCATTAGCTTTCCTAGAATATTGCCTCTATGGCTGCTTCTCATCCCTTGGTTATCACGGATCTCTCCCTACCAAGCCCAGTAAACAGCATTCTCACTGTTGAATATAAGAATATCCTCTCTAATGGCTCCATAGCTCAAATGCATTTGTTCCTGTGTTACTTGTTTTTTCCCCTTGTGCACTGAAAACCCTATAATGGTAGGTTATTATAATGCCTGGTGCACCACAAATAGCTCTTGAATTGTATGACTACAATTATTAAAGTTTATAAAGAAGATATTATTGAAAGCATTTAATATGTTTTTAACTAAAGGGAAGTTATGTAAATGGTGAATCAAAGCATGTAAATACCAATGCATTTTTACTATTGTATAGGCTAGATGCCAACCTAATGCTATAGAAAGATGTGACAAATGAACTAGTAAGTAAAAACCAATCACCTATCCTTACATTGAGTTATTCTCAATGATATTCTAAGTCAAAGGCAGAATGCTTTTCTCTGAAATAGAGATTTAATTATTCTAGTTATGCCAAATTGAGTATAATTCTTACTAAGCTGAGTCAGAAGGAGACATAGACATTTAAAAAGTCCATAGCTCAATGGGTTTGGTATTAGATGCTCTCTATTGCTTTCTTACTTATTGTGTACACCAGATTATCTACCCCCAAAGATTGATACCTTTTTTTGAACTTCTTAAGTAGACCTCACTTTTGTTTTATTGGCAAAGTCAAGATACCATCAATTTAATAACTATTGATTGATTGTGTAGCTCTTATGGGACACCAATTCTCTAACTTCACTCCACTTTAGAGAATGTAGAAACAAAGTAGTCAACCAAGAACTGTTCATTGGTCTTGACAGACAGTTCTTTAACTAGATAACCTGTAAACATGTCCTGGATTCAGTTTACAGTTCTCAGTTGTGATTAATTTTGTGAATGAGGAGATGTTGTTTAAAAAATAATCTCAATCTAAAAGTCTTTTGAAAATCTGTTATGATTAAGGCAGTGTGTTTGGCACTCTGAAGGCTACAGTGATAATCAGAAGTGATTCCTACTCTCAAGGAATTCACAGTCAAGGAAAAGGTTTATTTAATAAATAACTACATACTACAAGGTAGAAGACATCCAGTTCTACCATAGAGGTGAGAAATAAGGTGGTACAGAAATTCAAAGGATAAGACGAATTTCCCTTGGGAGTATTAGGAAAGTTTTCACAGAGGTTTGAAAACTAAGTAGGACCTGGATGTGTGAAGTAGGAGGACAGAGGACAGCAATTTTTTTAAATCAAAACAAAAATATGAAATCAGAAAAGTGCAGGGAATGCATTGAGAAGAAGGAGTAGGTCAACTTGGTAAGATCAAGAGGTATATGTAAGGGGAGAAGAGGAGATATTTTAAGATTGGAAAAGTAGCTTGGCACTCTATTTCAGGAACATAAAACAAGGAAAGTGGGTGAACTTCATATTATAAATATTGGGGAGTCATACAGCACTAGATATGAAGCCTGTGATGTGAGTAAGTGGTGAAATAGGAAGCTGTGGGCAAGAATATTGGAGAAGACATGACAGGGAGGTTTCTCAAAGGTTTATGATGGTGATATGAGTGGACACGTTGGAGTTAGTTTCAACAGATCCTGGCAACTCTTTAGATGAGGGGAGTAACAGGGATTCAAATGTGGTTCAAAACATTTCAAACTGGTTGACTGAAAGTTATATCCTTAAAATAAATGGACAATATAGAAGAGCAGCTTTTAGAAAGAAAATTTTATATGCAGGTTGAGAAGTATCAATGTATGCTGGTAGAACACAAAGTATGGAATCTCAGGTGTGGTACAGTCCTTTGATCATTGATTGAGGTTATCAGAAATTCTGTGAGGTGATGAGTTATTCAAAAAAGGAAATAATAGAGAGATAAAAGATGTTTGATGATAGACAATTAGGATGCCCACATTAATTTGGGTCAGGAAAAAAGTAGGAGGAGTGTTGAAAGAATAAGGAGAGTCTAATGTCATAAAAACCAATAAAGGAAACACTTTTCAAAAAGTAAGAGCCCATGAGAATGTCAAAGTATGCCTTCTAACTATGTAGCAGCTAAAAAAGATAGCAATTAAGAAAAGGTTTCTACTTGTCTCAAATTGATAGTCATCATTCATTTTCCAAAATGAAATATAGAAGCAATGTGAACCAATGGAAAAAGATTGAACATTGAAATCAGAGAAATTGGCATCAAGGTCTGATTCTGTGTGGTTGAGCAATGTGCTTGGGGTAAAATTGCTTTGTTTCCCTAGATCTTAATTTATTGACCATAAAATGGGGATGATACTCGAATCAAAGGGCTGTGAGATTAAATTTAGTAAATCAACATATGGATAAGAAGAGGCTGTTGGAAATAGGTCTGTTAATCCAGTTCTTTTTTGAGTTTGCCTCCCATTTGCTTTCCATGAACTTCCAGATGATCATGTGTTATAGAAAAACTTACCTGAGTTTGTGGGAGTTTAGGTTAAATTAATCATGACCACAAATTGCAAAATATTCAGCCTTGGCCCCTAATCCCTCCTGTGCAAAGCTGAATACAGGAGGAATCAGATGGAATAGGTTTACTCTGAAGGTCCTGCCACAGCAAATGTTCAAGACAGAATGGTGTCGAGAGGTTCAGAGGCTGAGCAGTTGGAATGACAACAACTGTGTCCTTGATGCTTGCTTTTGCATACCCTGGTGTTTAGCAAAATGCTCTGTTCATAATAGAGACTCAGTAAGACTCAAAACAGCCAAACAAATAGTTCTTTTGTCCTGTTTGGAGAGATTTGGCTCGAATACAATTCTTAAAAAAGGATTTTTTAAAAAGATAAAGCTTTGATTGGAAACAAGAAACATTTTAGGAAGATGGTACAATTTAATGGGGTATTGGTGGCAAGCAACTAGACAGATGTGTATGCCAATGAATACTTGCCACAAATACAATGTTGTATATATTGACAAAAGATAAACATCCCCTAAACCAGGAGTCAATGATGGAAACAAAAGGAAAAGAAAGTTGGAGACATAAATCAAAGTCTCATGCTGTTTCTAACTCGTAGACAACAACAGAGAGACAATGGTTACTTACACTTAGATCTGTTCTTATTAATAAGTAGAGAGGCACACAAATAAGAAATATAATACCAGATGCCATTTATTTCTTATGAAAATTAATAGTTTCTTTTCTTTAGTAAACAGTAGGATTGTAATCAATAAATGCTGCACCAATGGTCACGTGACTAGACTTGCCCGTTGCTCTGGGTCTCATGGTGTGCATAGCAAAGAAAAGCACTGAGATTCCATACTGCTGAAAACACAAATGACGTATTTTGTATTAATAAAAGATAGTAAAATTCCATGTCAAATTGTTTCAAGGTTTCTTTCTCTCTTGAGTCCATTTACATGTACTATGTAGAGCTGGAACTTGGTTGTGAAGTTCTTTTCAGCAGTTGCGCGCCCTATGACTATGCATAAAGGGAATGAGTGTTTGCTAGATGGGAAACCAGAACCTGTGGTTTACATATTTCTTCCTTAGACACTGCAATCAGCCAGATATTTACCGTCTCCTTCTCCCTCCCCGCCCTGTGGTTGCTTTGCAGGCCACGGCACGTGTTCCTGTGGCCGCTGCGTGTGTGAGAGAGGATGGTTCGGGAGGCTCTGCCAACATCCCAGGAAGTGCAACATGACGGAGGAACTGAGCAGGAGTCTGTGTGAGTCAGCAGATGGCATACTGTGCTCCGGAAAGGGTGAGTGTCTCTGCCGGAGCTTGGCCTGGATCCCTGCTGGGACACGTGGCTCCTACAGCAGCCCGTAGCAAACACCTCTTTCAGACTGCACTTTGCGTGAATGAAAATCACTCCATCCTCTGTTTGTACCAGCCCTTATTAAGTTTGAAAGTGAACCACGTGAAGTGTAGTATCCAAGAAAATGAAATGCATGAGATGGGTTGCAAGTGAAAAGATTCTCAGCCACTTGTATACAACCTGATGGTGAATGAAATGCAATTAATAATTGTATAAAGAGCCAAAACAGGTTTGGCTCAGAGGATAGAACATCGGCCTACAGACTGAAGGGTCCCAGGTTTGATTCCGGTCAAGGGCATGTACCTTGGTTGTGGGCACATCCCCAATAAAGGATGTGCAAGAAGCAGCTGATCAATGTTTCCCTCTCATCGATGTTTCTGGCTCTCTATCCCTCTCTCTTCCTCTCTGTGAAAAATCAATAAAATATCTTTTTAAAATAATAATAATAATAATAATTGTATAAAGAAGAAAGAACTATAAGATATGTTGGGACCTGAAAGCCCCCCCCCCCCCCCCCCCCCCAATCATTGAGTTCACCTGTGAAACAGCAGAGCCAGGGATGGCTCTGCATAAAATGCTCTGGAAGCTCATGGGATTCTCACCAAATGTTAGGGAGCTGCCCCGCCTGGAACTGAATGTCATTCTCCAGCTCTCCTCTTCGGCTCAGTGACCTCCTTGAAGGACAAACCACCTCCCTTTTCAGACTTTTAGAGCTGAAGCTACATCTACTCTCCAACACCTACCCTGGGTCAGGAGTGCAGGTAAATGTGTTTCTGAAGAAAAAAACAGCGAAGCAAAGTCAGTCTGCTGAGGAGGTCTCAGCAGAACTCGCCTCTGGGATGTGCCCCTCAACAGTGGCTGTCACTTACTAATCATCACCAAGGCCAATGCTCTCTGGATAAAAAAGGCCTCTTGACGTCATTGCAAAAAATAAAATCAGATGGATGTGGGGACCATATTTGGTGCCAGGAGGAAGGATGAAAAGGATACAAACATGCTCATTTTAATAGACAAGCATGCCGTTGGTTTCCAGGAATTCTTTGTTTGAGATTGCTGTTTACAGAGTTCTGGCAAGGAGGCCTTGCCTCCCACCTAATGCAATTACAGTGGCCAAGCAGCACTTAAATGCATCTAAAGCAATCACTTTGTTCCCCATTTGTTCTCGTATGGAATTCATTCTAATTCCAAGTCCTAATCAAATCTCTCAACATTTCAGTTCTCAGGGGCCCTCAAGTCCTGATACACTTGCTCTAGGTTCAAGGAGTTCTGTTGGCCCTGGCAGGTTTGGCTCAATGGGGTGGGCATCCTATTGTGCGCTGAAAGGTTGCCAATTTGATTCCCAACCTTTTGGGAATTATCCCAGGTTTTGGGCTCCATCCCAGCTAGGACGTCTTGCTTTCATATATTATATCACTGTTTCTTTTCTCTCTCTTCCTCTCCCTTTCTTTTTCTCTAAAATTCAATTAAAAAACTTTTTAAAAAGAAAAAAGAAGCTCTGTTGGTAGAAGGAAGGAAAGGTTAAAAGGAAGAGACAGAGAAGGAATTGCCTAGGAAGAGATTAACAAAGATAACAGTAAAGGTGGTAGGAATAGAATTAACTATCAGGGTGGAAATGGAAGGAGGGGGCGGGAAGAAATTTTATCAGGTCAGAAGGGACTGTCCTGTGTATAAAAAAAATAGTAAGAATGACTAATTTGTTTGAATTAGAGGGTGTTTTTTTTGTTGTTTCCCCCCCCCCCTGAGTATAGCTTCAAACACAAAGCTAGCTTTTAGATACTTTTGTTGTTGTCGTTGTTGGTTTTCATGAAGGCATTATCCTTGAAATAAGGCTATTAGCTTTTCTGAGAAATTCTACTGAATGAAACTTTTGTATTAGAACATTGGTGTGCTTATTTTAAAAATCGTGTGTGTGTGTGTGTGTGTGTGTGTGTGTGTGTGTTTCCTAGACAATATAAAATCACTAACATTGTTCATAAGTGGGTCTTTGCTAGTCATGTCCAATTGCCAGTATAGGAAGAGAACACACACACACACACACACACACACACACACACAGCCGTGCTCACCTGTGTGGTAAATATTATTCTGTCATTTCCTAGCTGAATTTCATGCAAAGAAGAGGGGTAGTTTGTTTTCAAGAAAAAAAACAAAAACGTTTCATTAAAGTCATTACATTCTGAGGAGAGATTTTCAGCATCATAAATATAGAAAAGGTCCCCCAAAAGGGGGTGAACTCAGAGGCATTTCCCTCAAAACAAAACGAGAAAATCTCCCTAGTTAATGCTTTTTCAGATTGCTTGCTTTAGGCCATGGAATTATATCTACAGATCAATGAGGGTTGAAAGCGTATTTTAAAAAACTGTTTGTTTATCCTTCAATGGAGAGAGTTCTGTAAAAGGAGACTGGCTGTAAAAGCTGCCTCAAGGCTGCATGCTTTCAAGCTGGAGCTGGAGAGGACTGTGGGCATTCTGTTTGCAGCCACTGGCTGCAGGCTCCTTTCTTCCCACTCATTCTGGAGACGTCAGTGCTGGATTCTAGAAGAACAGGATTAAAACCAAGACCATGGAACTGTGCTTTCCCGGAGGCACAGAGACCAGTGGGGATGCAGCTGTTATTTCTGACGCCTTAGAGGTTACCATGCACCCCTCACCTCAAGAACCAGAGAAAGAGCTTTTGCTGGTTTGGCTCAGTGAATAGAGCATTGGCCCTTATACTGAAGGGTCTTGTTATAGGCTTGAAATCCAGTCCCAGCAGGGAGGGGCACGTGTGGGAGGCAACCAGTTGATGTATCTCTTTCACATCAATGCTTTTCTCTTCCCCTCCCTTCCACCCTCTTTAAAAATCAAACCTCTTGGCTCAATGGATAGAGCGTCGGCTTGGGGACTGAGAGGTCCCGGGTTAGATTCCGGTCAAGGGCATGTACCTTGGTTGCGGGCATATCCCCGGTGGGGGGTGTGCAAGAGGCAGCTGATCGATGACTCTCTCTCATCGATGTTTCTAGCTCTCTATCTCTCTCCCTTCCTCTCTGTACAAAATCAATAAAAATATATTTTAAAAAAATCAAACCTCCAGTGAGAATTAAGAAAACAAAACAAACAAACAAACAACAACAACAACAAAAAAAAAAAACAATAGAAAGAGTAACTCCTGAAATGGACAACAGATTTTGACAAGGTAGCCGAGAAACCTATTCCAAATTATTTGACTGGGGCCAGGTATTTTTTAATAGGTCTCATGGACTTGCCAGAATTCCATATACTTTCCCTCAACATGGTAAATGAAAACCCCTCACCTTGATCTTCACAAAGGAAATTGGAGTGTTTTTCTTTCTCTGACGAGGGGACAGGGAGGAGCAGGGGGCCTGAGGTCACTGCTTGGTAGCCTGTACCCAACTGTTTGCACCATGCGCTGCTCACGATCCATGAATAAAGCCGTCACCTCAGGAGATGATGAAGAAATAGCGTTTTATTTCTTTACAAATGTAGAGCCAAGACAATAAATCACTCCATAGAAAAATTTAAAACTAGATACATTGTTGTGACCTTCATGACAGATGGAGTTGTGAGTACAATGGTGAAAACTGCCTGCTGGGATGTTGGTTGCAGCATTTCCTCAGGCTTGATGAATGGAAAAGCAAGTCCACTTTGTAAATGGGGCAGCTAACAAGGGTGCTCGCCCTTAGGCTCAGGCTGTTTATGTGAATAACCAGAGAGCTGAGCTTAGAGCCAGGTTTAGCTCCCTTTGCAGAATCCATGCTGTCATTCGTGGGCTGTTTGCTTGCTTGAGTATTTATGCGTATCCAAGAGTACATAATCACCTTTCTGAAGATGCCTATAGTTACAGATCACTAAATATCTCCTTAGAATTCTTGCAATGGCACTGTTGAGTCCCACATCATCCGAATGAGTCCATGGTACACGTACCCACTCACCTATCCCTCACCTACACCCCATCCTGGCAGGTTCCCCATCCCTGAAAAGAGACAGGATCAAATTTAGGCTTCAAAAACCAGACTTGGACCAGAGTTTCAGTTGCCTCACCCAATATAACTGTCAGTAGGAACACACACCTCATTATTTGAAGCCATATGAAGGTTTTCCTTGTGAGAGGCATCACAGATAGGCAGATAGTAGGTAAAACAGTAGATGGAATCAGATTGAAATCTTTTTTGCCCCCGTGGCTCTGGGCAATTCCATTTTCTCATCTTTGAAGGCAGAAGAATATTTCTTTCCCCTTCTTAAGTTCTGAGAATGCTCTGAAGACACATGAGAAAATGTGGCTGAGTCCCCAAGGAATAGAAGCTACTAAAAAAAAGCAGAAGGGGATGGAAGCATTCTTCAGGGTCCTCACACTGAGAAAGAAAATAGATTAGTGGTGTCGTGGTCATGGATTTACCACCCTAGAGTTCCTGCCAACATGGACCAGCTTCTCCCTACTCTGGACCGAGTCTCATGGGCACGAGTGGGTGCCAGTCCAGCTGAGCTGAGTAATCGGTCACCTCCTGGCAGCCATGTGGCTTATATTGGTCTGACAGAATCCTTTCCCTAATATTTTCCTTTTCCAGAGTAGGGCGATTTGACCCCTGCTTATTGATGAAGAGGGCCAGGTAGCTCTATAACAAAGGCACTATAAAACATCCTAAGAATGACCACGCTGTGTTGTTATTACATGCTATGCTGCTCCTAGTTTCACAAGCAGTAGAAGAATTTCCTACCTCTGAGATGCACTGAGAATTCACAAAGAGAAAAGAACAGCCCAGCTGGGGAAAATGCTGATGAGAGAGGCTCGTTTTTCATAGCACATACAAAAATCAATCCCCATTTTTCACTCTAAGTATTTCAGTGACTAGCAGACTTCTGGAAATGCCATGAACTTGTCAAATGGCCTACCCATGTATACCACACTCACTTTAGTTGAGCTGACCAGTTTTAGGAAAATACTATACAATGGCCTGAAGCTAAGCATTGGAAGTGAGAACAGTGATCAGAATAGTTCTAGAGCCAGGGGACAAGTCTAAAGATGAAATGTGATCCCCCCCCCACAATGAATTGTGGCCAAAAAGTATATCCTAGGTGTAATAAATATTATGGACATATAAAGTCATTTACATCTCCATCTGTTGTAGAAACAATTTTGAAATATAAAGGGGATAGTGTTTTAGAAACAATTAAAAACAGTGGAATTCTTCAAATAAGCTTCCTCCACTCATAAAGCACTAAATGTGATACCTTCTGAGGCTATGCTAATGAAGTCATTAGAATGCCCCAAGTTTTCCAATATTGCTCTATCCATTTGCAAATGTATAGTTGACTGTTGAACATTTCTCTGCCTAGAGATTTGACAGAGAGTCTTTAAAATTAGAATAAATAAATTTCTAAATAAAGGAACACTCTACCTGGGTGAGACTACCAACTCTCACAGAACTGGCCTGGGAGGCCCAGTTATAGGCCCTAGGCAATGGATATGGTACTGATCACTCATTAGAATTGAAAGTTGTATAGAAAGTTGTCTATTTTGCAACCTAGCCCCTCAGTAAAACAAGTTTATGGAACCATGCTACAGTTAAGTAAGAAGTTAATAAATGTAAACACAGTTCTCAGCATGTAACTAATTCTGGCTGCTCCCTTAACCTGAAAAGTGTGACAAGGAATATCAAAAGTTTAATTTGGCCATTGGGGATTCTTGCAGCTAAAATGCATATATGAGTTTCCATAATATAAAATAGCATGGGGTGCTTAATGTCTGGGACACCTTTATGGGCATCTTTTCATGACAGCAGTCATGCATAAAAGTTTCTTTCTCTAACCAGTTTTTAATTGCAATGTTTCATAGAGAGACTAATGATTGATTTTTGCCTCCTCCCAGCATATTTTGAATTTACCAAGTCTGTTATTTTGTTGAATATGTCAAAATAATTTTTCCACTTCACAGTCTTTTAAGAGGATAGGCATCTTTGGTAAAAAGAAATCACATGTAGAAAGAGCAATCAATCCAAGGAAATAGAAGGAAGGGGTAGGCTATTCTGTGTGTTTATTTTTAACTTGAAAACTTTCTTTACTGCTATTGTAGAAATAATTTTGCCATATGAAAACGTTTAGGCTGAGAGAAATTTCTCCTCTCTCTGACATCATTGAATTCATACATTTTCTTTTCTAAATGTGCTATTAACAAAAGGGTTTTTCAGCAAGCCAAAATATCTTTAATAACCAAAAAGGAAGTTTTTAATTAGGTAGGAAGTAAAAAGAGAGGAAATGAGTGAAGTAATGGAAAAGGTGGTTGGATCAAGAGCCTCATAAAAGATGGACATTTGAAGGGAGGGATTAGAGCTCTCCTGGATTATGGCAGGAAATCCCAAAGGTAAGATTGGATAAATTAAATATACATGAGTGATTGTACGTGTATTTTTAGCACTTTAATGAGCCACCCAGTAGGCAGGTGAGTCCTTACTTTAAGGAAAATCATGTAAACAAAAATCCAAAATTATAAGCACAATAAATTTGGTAGTTGTTTTAATTATAAGTTGCACCCTTGTTTAATAGAACTTACTATTCAATTCCTTTAAAAGACAGACACTTTGAATACATGATTCAATTCAGAAAAAAAAAATTAGAAAACACATTTTGAACACCTTTTTGGAAGACCATCTGTAAAAATCAGCCACATTCCGCCCTCATTGACATTTCAACCAGACTGAGCCACAGAACATTTGCTCAAGGCTAATTGCAACTGTCTAGATCCATAATGAAGCCTTTCCGGTTAACCTTTGTGAATTACAGTAAGGAAAGCTCCCTTTTGAGCAACTGGCTGTTTCATAAATGTTCACCTTTGGAAGGTAGGTTATTAGAAGCCGATTGTCAGTACGTTGATGGTATTCTACTCTGGGCAGAAACCTTTAGTTGTATGGCAACAATCAATAACACTCTCTGTGATTTCAGGTTCTTGTCACTGTGGAAAGTGTATTTGTTCTGCCGAAGAATGGTACATTTCAGGGGAATTCTGTGACTGCGATGACAGGGACTGCGACAAACACGATGGTCTCATTTGCACAGGTGCGGTCCTGGCCCACCCTAATTGATCTATGCCACATTTTGTAATAAAGGTGAATGACACTCATGGCATTTTGCTGTGGATCACTGGGCAGGAGAGCTTTCCTGTACGTAAAGGGAGGTGGGCATTTCAGAATAAGCACCATCATTATTCCCAGGCATAAATAAGAATGCACCCAAATTATATGATTTGGGGGGAAATTCCATATAAAGTAACTTCCCCCAATGTACACATATGCAGTTTTATATATTGCAAAAAAGAAAATAATTCTCTTGACAGCTATATCACTTTTAGTACGGTGTAGGGACTAGAATATATTTTAAACAGGAGCCAGGCACCAAAGCTGTTTGATGTGTTAGTTTGATTTTAGGGAAGGGAATATGTGTGTGTTGGGTGTGGTGGGACTATGAAAACAACTTAGGAATATAATAGACACTGCTATCCTGAGTTTCTGAGTCCTAATGATTGGTAATAAAATATTTTCTTAAACAATGTACAGGGGAAATAGAGGCATATATTTACTCTCCTTTTTCGAACTACAGGAAAAAGATGAGTATGTGTGTGTCATTAAGTTAGACATTCATGTTCTACCCACTCCTACTATACAAGGCTCCTATTCTAGCTAATTATTCAGCCTACTTCATCCTATGTCAAGGATCTGCATGTTCTTTAGCATTTATTGTTACACATAACCTGTTCTCCATAGAAAAACAAAATTATACATGGAAGCCCAGCTGAAGTGATTCTGATGGTCATCATTAGATTGATACTAACTGGATGCTTAAGAGGTCAGATTTCCTACAGCTGCTTAATAAGATAATAATAAGATGGCTGCACAATAAGAAAATTTTCAGAGGATGAATGAAATTGCTTTGATTATGAACAGTTATGTTTTACAATAACATATATTAGCTTGGTATATTTCAATCATAATAATGAATCTCCTGTGTATTTTACTGCAGGGAATGGAATATGTAGCTGTGGAAACTGTGAGTGCTGGGACGGATGGAATGGAAACGCATGTGAAATCTGGCTTGGCACAGAATACCCTTAACAATGAGAGAGGACTGGGTTCCTATTTGTCTAGGCCATTAGAGATATAAATTCAGAGGAAACCATGTATAATCACCGCGAGGACAGGTCCAACAGACTGTTGTATGTTTTTCTATTTCTGAAAGCCTGAATGAAATCTGGATACCCATTAAGAAAGGAGTTAAGCAAACTCAGATGTAAATAACACCAGGAAAGAATTTTTCTCCTACAATTTACATCAGTGGTTCTCAACAAGGGTGACTTTGTCATCCAGAAAACATCCGGCAATGTCTACAGGCGATTTTGATTGTCACACTGGGTGGGGCTTGAAGGTGCTTTTCAGGCATCTGGTGGGTAGAGGCCAGAGATACTGCTATACACCCAACAGTGCACAGGACAGCCCCCACGAAGGATTTTCTGACTTCAAATGTCATTAGCTGCAGAGTTGAGAAAAGCTGAATTACATGGTGGTTAAAAATGTACATCCCTACACAGAAAGGACCATTTTAGACTCTAAGGAAAACAGCCTTACATAAATCCATTGATCACATGTTGCCAGGATTCCCCATCACTCAGTGTTTCCGTATGGAAATGAAGACATACACACTTGAAGTACAATGTTGAATTGGGGTAGGGAGTGGGAGTGGGGGCCAGAGGCCAGATTATCAATGCTTTTAGTCATTAAATCGTTTCTCTAGTCTCACTCTAAACTCACAAAAGAAGTTCTTTTAAGATGAAGGAAGAAATTATGGAAAAATGTACAATTTAACATTTTTAATAAATAGTGACATAAGTTGTTTACACTGTGTCAATATGTATTTTACCAACTGATGACTGACTAACAAAAAAATGAATTGCTGTTTAAGAGCATCCATTTTTCTGTCATTTTTCTGAGCATGTTTTAAACTGGACATGGGTTACACGTACAAGGAATCTGATTTTTCCCTACAAGTTACTCCATAGTAACTTGCCTTTCAAAAAGACAATATCTAGTTAGGTCTATGATTGGCTGAAATATGCATTCATTTCTCTTAAAGGACTCTATTATTTCTAAGGATACATTTCTCACTGAAAAAGTAGGGCCATACATGGAAGTCAAGGAGAGACATTGCAATAAAATGGTACCAGACCCACAAGCTCAGAGGATAGAAAGAAAAATCTAGAAATGGCTTAAATAGAAGTTACAAATATTCACTTAATGATAGGAACAAAATGTTTATTTTCATAATGGTGAAATTTTGCTCTGTATGAAATTCACATCAAAATATGAAAATGTACAATAATTTGGATTTCCCTTACATATTTGCAATCAAGTCTACTTATAGGCATTAGTTAGGCAATCTTTAATTATTTAGAGCTAAAAAAGACCCACTTTTTATTTAATGTGGATTATATTTTGTAAAATCCTGCAATATTGTAATAAAATCATTTTCTTATTGTTTAAGATGAAAAATTTTGCTTGGACATTTTATTTGATGATGTAAATATTCTAGACTCATGGCTTGGACTTTATAAGTCAAACCACCAAGAGTGAGGAAAATGTGTGCCTGCAGAGTTACTTAAAATTGACAATAAAAATGATTTAAGAAAAATTTAATTGATGCTGATTTTTAGAATACTGATAGTGTTCTCAGACTTAAACAGGTTTATAAAATTGTTATCTCTGTCCTGAGATTAAGGAGTGCAACCACATCAGTTGTATCTTGATTGTTCAGTGCATCAATTGAAATATCAGTTTTATAAATGAAGTGTAAGCAGCTAAGAAATTATATATATATATATACATTATATATATATATATATATATATATATATATATATATATATATTCAATATATATATATGTAATAATATCCTTTCCTCTTATCTACCTAAACATGTTAAGCCTCAAACAAACCTATTTTAACTATTCAGTAGCAATTTCAATGCTGATTGATTTGGTGATGGACACATGGGAATTCACTACATTATCACAGTACAGTGACATCCAGATTCCTTATTGCAGAGCTCTGCTTTCCATGGAAAGGATCAGATAGTAAACATTGTAGACTTTGTGGGCCACACACATCTCTTTTGCATATACTTTTTTGTTTGTGTTTAAAACTGTATAAAGAAAGAAAGAAAAAAACTCACTCTGAGCTCCTGGGCCATTCAAAAGCCAATTGCAAGCTGGGTTTGGCTCACAGCTGAGAAATAAATGACTAGCCTGTGCTTTGATGGAACTGCCGTTAATTTCCTGTTTCCTCAATAACCCCAGGTGTGTCTTATTTTTCTTATAATTATCTATATTTGTTATCCCTTTTCATTAACAACCACAACAAAAGTGTTTCTCTTTTTAAAATTTGATAAGAGTGTTCAGCATTTATATTTTTAAAGAAAAAGTTTAGGTATGGAGAAATGTTAATTATAAAGTTCAGAAAGGGATTTGTCCAAAAATTTTGACAATGAAAAATATACTACAGTCAGCTATATTCTGGGTTCAATTAGTTACAAATTATTGAACCAAAATTTTCATATTTCTTTTGTGTGTGTGTGTGTATATGTGATGTTGACTCTAGCTTGCAAATATCAATAGATCTATTAAGAATTTAATTTATATGTTTAAATTGGAAAAAGTTAGACATAGTTACATATAAAGACCTACATTCTACCCTTCTTAAATGTGATTTTGTACTTTGACTTTTAATTCCATTACTAAGATAGAAACTCCTCTTTAAAAAAAAAATGCCAATCAAGAGCAAATTTGTAATAGGAGGAGGGGAAAATGTGCAAATCTCATTGGCTGGTTCAAGTTTGTTCCAAGTTATAGTGGGATTAATGTGAATTGAGAAGGATACAATAGGTAGTGTTGGCCATAACCCTGCAAACCATCACTGAGGAATCATCCCAGAGGGACTTCTCCATAGAATTCGACCAACATCTTAAGACCTAAGAAGAGAATCATTATATCCTATTTCTCCCAGGACTCCTTGAGCTAATTTAGATTCCTTCAACACTTTGAAAGAAATGACCTCACCTACCCAAATGCAAATGCAGTCTCTGCCAGCAGACATCAGGATTAGACTGAATAGTATAGAAAAATGGGGGGGGGGGGGGGGAGAAGACACGTAATTCAGCCTTTATTTTCAGACTATGTCAAAACTTTGAAACCCAGTTCAGTATTCAAGCATCAACAGATTCTATGTACCAACTTATAAGCTAAGGAACTTAAGCTCTGAAATGTATTTTCTCTAAAGTAACACAATTCACATCTAGATTTTTATATGCCTACATTTATTTTTTTAAAATATATTTTATTGATTTTGTACAGAGAGGAAGGGAGAGAGATAGAGAGCTAGAAACATCGATGAGAAAGTCATCGATCAGCTGCCTCTTGCACACCCCTACTGGGGATATGCCAGCAACTAAGGTACATGCCCTTGACTGGAATCGAACCCCGGGTCCCTTCAGTCCCCCAAACCGACACTCTATCCATTGGCCAAACTGGTTTCGGCTGATATGCTTACATTTAGCTGAACTGCTTTCTCTAGATATAGTCTTGTTCTGAAATGAAATTAAAAGTAAATTTCAAATATTTTCACTTCCTTCTAAAATAGAGTTTTAATCAAACTGATTTCCCCTTGAAAAGTTATTCTCTGATTTAATATTTGGGAGAAAACTAAATGAGTTGATACTTATCTAACATTCAATACATATTTAACCTATGTTCTGTTTTGTCTTTTTAAAGAGAACCTAATTTGATATTAGTCATACTAAAAACATCTGACTGTTTTAGTACTTTAGGTACTAATTAAGCAACTAGCCAGATGTGATAAAGAAACTGTGCTTACTCTTCAAGAGGCAATTAGGCCAGGTCAGTGTAGCTCAGTGGTTGGGTGTTGACCTGTGAACTGGGAGGTTGTGGTTTGATTTCCGGTTGGGGCATATGCCTGGATTGTGGGCTCAATCCCTAGTGTGGGGCATATAGGGGGCACCCGATTGGTGATTCTCTCTTATCATTGATGTTGCTGTTTCTCCCTCTCCCTTCCTGTCTGAAATCAATAGAAACAGGTTTTTTTTTTTAAAAAAAGAGGCCATTGGAAGGACTGTGGCAGAAATTTTATGGGCCCAGTATATGTCTCCTGAAGTCAACCCCTCCCCAAAAACACTCAGGGAAACCTAACATTTAAAGCAATAATTTCTAAGTTCTCAAGGATTTATAATGAAATGATGCTTAGTTTCAACTTACTCTCTACAGAGGGTGGACCATTTGCATCTATTCTATAATTTTCCCAAGTAAAGTTTTAGCAAAAGATTTTAGAAAGCAAACTTATAAGAAAATAAAAATAGTGTCACTTGAAATATCAAAACTATTAAATATTAAGCATTGCTGAGAAATGTGTGAAGCAATCAGCTAACATAACAAATAAGTAAAAATAACCCTCCCACACCAGATATGCATGCAAATGGAAAGTGATAATAGACTTGATACAATCAACATATATACATGTAGATACAGAACACATGGTCTCTAAATACAAATTAATTCCATCAGATTTACTATATAGGACATCAATGGTGACAGATTGCACTTACTTAATAACATCAAACTTGATTTTGAGGGGAAAAAGGGAGTCTTAAACCAGAAAAAAAAATAGCAAGAGAGGTATCATCAAAGAGCTAAAATTTTCTTTGGCATGATAAAGGGGAAAATTGAGTTTACCAACTTATTTACATGACATGTCTATATTTGTGGGAGATGCAATGCCATTTCATTACATGAAGTTGTTTTTGATGTTTTATAATATGCCTTCCTATAAATATTTTATTCAGTGTGTTGTATTTGTGAATATAACAAATGACATTAAACACAGAAACTGCACAAAGCAGACACTCTCTGTATGTACATTGAGAAATACATACTAACAGTTCTTGATATCCATGCGCTCCTACATGCAGTCCATCAGTGCTGCCCTTGTCCCATGCAATAGATGAGACCAGTCACAAAGGAAGTGATCACACTAATTTACAAATAACAAAAACCCCTCTGCTATATGTCTAAACATATTTTGGAAGAAAATATTTTGACATCCATTCACAGGGATAAAGGCCCTTATAGACAACACATAGAAAAAAAAAAAAGACAAAACAAAACAGGTGTGCACATAAATCTCACTTATCTAATATTTAAAAAAATAAATATTGTCTTAATTTTAACCATTACGCAGGCTTGCAGGGGAAAAGAAACCATCAGATGAGGTCTGATTACCAAAAGCAAATTGGTGGGGTTGTTTGATGTGTGTGTTGGGGTGGGGTGGGATAGGGTAAGCCCATCTAATTGAAATTTCAAGTTAAATTATTCAGTTTGCCACATGTTAAGAATTATATGTATTCCCTAAATAATTAGTTAATGAAATTTATCTAATACATTTTAACTTATCCTGTTAAAAACAATAGGCATTAAAATGGTATAACAAGAAATCAAGAATGGGAAGAACCATTTTTTTTTTTTTGTATTTGTACTTAGGCATAATCAACAATAAATCTACTCAAACATTCTGCTAACTTTTAATTTTATTAAAATGGAATCCAATATGAAAATGAAATAAGCATAAACAGTTAAATTTATACTAAATCTTTAATAAGCTAAGCAGGACAATATTTTAAAATGCTGGGCAAGGGCTGTCATGGAGACTTAGAAAAGCAGTGACAAAATAATTTCCCAGTAAATACAGTGCAAATGTGGGTAAATGGCGACTAGGTCATCCTCCCACATGGAAATAATAACAAGAGGCCAGGATAATGATCCCACATATACTTTTTTCTATAAATGAGGTTCAGTTTGGTCTCAATTAACTCTTCTGAGAACAAAACATTGAATTTTATTATGTATACACAGAGTTAACAAATATATTTCCAAACAGTTTAGTATTAAACATTTTGAAACTCTTTATATCCAATATTGAACATTTTGTGTAGTTTCTTCACTGTGTAGTCAATAGTCATGGCCTTTCTTGCTAGTTGTCTTCCCTAAGCTCAGAGTTATTTAAAAGGAAATTGAGAAAGCAAAGAAAACAAAAGCAGATTGGTTGAACGGACCGAAAACCTGATGCCTGAACGTGTTGGTTTGCCTTTAATGTGATCTAGAACAATTCGACAGACTGCATTCTGAGCTCATGGCAAGGCACCTCTCTCCCAGCCCTTGGGCAACTTGGGCCCCAAGAAGCTGAGGTAGAGGTATGGACTGGTGAAATACACAGTACCTGACTCAGCATGCTGAGCTAAAAAAAAATAGTATTTCCTAATGTGTCCTGTTTAAAAACTTGTCGTTAAACACCAAAAAATATTAAAGTCTAATTTGTAACTAAGGTTTGCTTTGCTGCTTCAGAAAAGAACACAACAGCCGCCTTGCCCATGCTCTGCTGAGTGTGAGTGGAACACAGCCAAAACCCGGATGGCAATAAGTTTGGTTCGTTAAAAATAGGAAGGATTATACATCAGAAATGGATTTAGGTAGCGCACTCTTGTAGGTTGTAATTGTTGTTGTTGGTTTGTTTGTTGTTGTTTTTTTCTCTCTTTTTCCAAATAATGAGGATTAGTAGATGAAAAAAAAATGAACCTTAATCAGGCCTACAAGGCCTACAGAGTTCTTTGGACCCACTTTCTCAAAAACCAGTGGGTCTTGCTCGCTGGGCAAGGCAAATGTTACCATTACCAGTAAGCTTGTGATATGTATAAAACACACACATACACACACACAAAGAAACTAGAGAGGCGTGTCAAACACATATCCTGGAGAACTCCCCACAGACTGTGTTTGACCCTTTTCTCGCCCCCAGCAACGCTGACGTCAGGAGCACAGGACCTGCCACTGAACAGACCGTATATGTGTGTTTAATTGATAGTGGGAGCCACAGACAACACTTTTAATCTTTATGATGCAATTTGTAATAATAGGTTTAGAAGGCTTCCTGATTCCCTGATCGCTCTCCGAACTAAGCCAACTGCAACGTTTAAGATTTGGAGGAGCACAATCCCTGCAAAAGGTCACAGACAGTGGAGCGCGCAGCCCTGTAAAAACCGGGAGGAAGAGAAATCCATAATAGCACAGGTTTTACAGCTTCTAACTAGAAATTACTCAATAGTATCCGAATGCTACAAAAGTGAACTTAAACACATGGATGTTGCTGAAACAGGACTCAAAAAGGATTATGGGTAGCTGTCAGCAGGCAAGGTATCTCGAGTGTACTTGTGAAGTATGTCATTCACATGAAGTGTCACAGTCACAGAAAAGATATTAAAAAGGCATTCCGTATCTGGTAGGGCATTCCATGGTCTGAGTTTAGCTGGTTATCCAGGTGTCTTCTTGTTGTGGGAGGTGCAACAGGTTGAGATTCATCCTCTTGCACCCAAGAAGTTCGAGACAGCAGAGAGCAAGCATCCGCTTACTTCCAGCTGCTCCTCAGCCACAGGAGCAGAAATGTCTGGCAAGGATAAATCACTCAGCTGTGCTCGGGACCAGTAAGTCACAACACCTGTGAGGATCTGGCTATGTGGTCTTACTTTTGTTGACTGGTTTGCCTCCATTCATTATTGCAGACGCGCTTGTGCTTTTACTGGGCGTCACCCCAGCCTTCGGGACCGTTTCTCCGACGTCATGCAAAGATGGTTCTCGGTACATGGCAACTGGTGACAGGAAGGAGGGCAGGAAGAAAAGGGGAAAAGGAAATGTTACCAAGTTCAGGTCAAGAATTAGTACACGCATGCACCGCAGCAGTTTGCCCTGTCCTGCTTCCCTGAAGTAAAGCAATCCTAGCGGTAGGGATACCTGCTTTAAAGCAGCAATTTCCCGCCCCCAAATAGAAGCTATTACTACCTGCACATTCTTTGGCTTATATAACTAAAGCATGCACTTAGATGTGCGTGATGTTTGTCCAGGAAAGAAGGTTTAAATGGGAGACATAGCCTCTTTGAGGGCCTAAGATATGAAACACACACACACACACACACACACACACACACACACACACACACACACAGAGGATGTATAGTATAGGAGAATGGCAAGCTTAACCTAATTCTCTTTGCATAGCGAGGAAAACTCAGACTTCCCTCACACTGCACACAATCAACACTTGTACGACTCATTCCTATTCATCTTGTCAAGTATTTACACCCTAGATCATTAAGTTACTTTTCTCTCAACTCACATAGTCACACTAGTGTCAACATCCAAGCTATACAAAGCAATAACAAAGAATTAGCTTTCCTTAATTCAAAGGTCATTGTTTCTATTTTCTCTCCCAGGATTATGAAAAAAGACCCTTAAATAAATGAAGGCAACTGTGTGGTGGTTTCTATTTTTATGCCTCATTTTCTGATATATTCTTAAACATTTAATAAGTGATGTCATACAAGGCAGAATCACAGAATGGCAAGAGAGTGAGTGGGACTGACATCTGGTAAGCTCTGAGAAATGGCCACACAATTAACCACAAGAGTTCATGTGGCTTTTTGGAAAATGATTCTCAGGAATCCTGGGGAAAAAAACATTTAAGAGTGACTGATTCTTGGGGAAAACTAGCTGAGTTAAAATCATCTGCCATCAGAAACGCAGTGTATTAGACTGCCCAACCTGCTTTTTTAGGCTTTTGAAAGTTTATGATGCAACAGGTCCTAGAATAATGTAATTTACTTCCAGTTCATCCTATGTAATAAAGAGGGAATGTGCTAATTGACCATCACTCCATCATAAAGATGGCTGCACCTACAGCTGAGGCCAAGCTCCCTTAGGGGGTCTTAACCAGCAATCAGCAGGGACCGGAGGCTACACCCTCTTCCAGCCCCATGGGTCTTGACAGGGGACCTCAGGCCATACCCTCTGCCCTGGTGTCAGCCTGGGGGACCTCAGGCTGCGCTCCCCACCCAGTGTGGCTTGATGGAGAACCTGAGGCTGTGCCCCCCTCCTGGTGCCAGGCCAGGGGAACTAGGCCACACCCCTTGCTCCAGCACTGGGCCAGGGAGTCTGAGGCTGTGCCCCCTACCCAGTGGGGCTTGACAAGGGTGGTTCAGGCCGGGTCTGGATCTAGCCCAATGAGGGGGTGGGTCTGAATCTCACTCGATTTTGAGGCCCATGTAGGTGAGTGGGGACTTGACTCTGAGTCCCCCCTTTGATGTGCACAAATTTCATGCACTGAGCCACTAGTTTCATTATAATGTTGATGGGAAAAAATTGATTCCCAACTGGGGCTACATCTGTGTGGAGTGTGCACATTCTCCCCATGTCTGTGTGGACTCTCTCCGGGGGACTCTGGTTCCTCCTGCATCCCAAAGATGTGCACATGAGTGGACTGGGGTGTCTAAACTGTCTCAGCCTAAGGGAGTGGAGGTGGGTGTGAGTACTCCTGTGATGAAGGGGTGGGTCCCAACTTGGGTACTGAGCTGCAGGGTTAGGCTCTGCCATCCTTGACCCTGAACTGGAATAAGTGGGTTGGAAAAGAATTCTCTTGTTTTTATTCATCTTTCTTAAATGTATGGGTAGCTCAAATTCATTTCATTGTTTATTCTTAAATGTCTAATGGGTCTTTATTTAGAAGTTTGGTGATATTTTTGTGACCAGAAATATGCAGTGGAAACTAAACTCTTAGTTATACCAATTATCTTAAAATTGGTTTCATTAAATGCTGTTTTGCTTAAAATTTCACTTTCCAAGAACTCATAGATAATGCAAAGTGTGGTCTTACTGTACTTTATGAAGAGATCTTATGTTTAGTTGGGAAGAACTACCACATACATTCTCCATGTTCAAGGAAGTAGAAGTTTATCTTTTGCATCAACGGATCATGTGATTTTTTAGTAGCACACATATTTGAAAGTGCTTGTGTACATCAGACCTATATCAAATGACTTGGCAAGGTGGTAAAAGGGATTCATCCACAGTCCTTGAAGCACTTTCCAATTGCTTACCAATTCAGTTAGGAGACAATAGCATCAGAGCATTAACCTTGTCTAGTATGAAATTGTATGAGATATGAATGTCCCAGAGCATTAAGGATTAATTAAATAGCTAATTTGTCCTAACATTCCAATGATATAATTTATATGCTGTGGGGGTCTTGAAAGCTTGAAATTAATTTTCTCTATCAATTGGACTATGTGATAATCTCTGTCACTCCAATACACCCTTAATTGTTTATTTTAGAGTACTTCTATCTGCTAATTATTTGAAAATACTGTTTCTCTCTTCCTCAATATATACATATAAACAACACATGCACACAACAACAGTTCAGTGTGTGATTAAAATACAAGTGATATTATTACACCACACCTTTAGACTCTCAAGATATTTCTTGTTGGTTATACCAAAGATCTGGTTTCTAGAGTTTGCTTCAGATAAGAGAAACATAAGGGACATTTTTGGTTTTCATTACATTTATGCAGCTAAGAAATAAATTTTTAGAAATTTAGTCAATTCTTAACTGCCCATATTAAAAAAGTTAATACAAAGAGACAAAGTTAGGAAGTGAAAAAAATCAAGATTTCTTTAGAGCTTCCATTGACAGTCTTTAAATTTTTCACTTGCTTTTAAATAGTGGTGAGTCTGATGGTTTCAAAATTCACTTAAAAGAGTGAAGCAAATGCACCAGTGTGGCTTAGTGTTTGAGCTTGACCTATGAACCTGAAGGTCATGGTTTGATTCACCATCAGGGGTCAAGCCCAGGTTTGCAGGCCCATCCCCAGTGGGGGTGTGCAGGAGGCAGCTGATCAATGATTCTCTCTCATCATTAATGTTTCTATCTCTCCCTCTCTGAAAACAATAAAAATATTTAAAAAACAAGAGATTGAAACAGATCATGGAGATGTTATTTTAGAACAACAGAGAAACCCTCTAATTCTTATTTAACCTCTAATTTTCTTATGATTTATCATATACTAGTAATAAGAATAATTTACTAATTTTTCAGAATCTGGAAAAAATTTTCTTTTCCTAGATAGGCCCTGCTGATTAATCATTTGGGTTTTAATGACTTGTTCTCCAGGCAAATTTAGTTAAGGGTGATAGGAAGTCAACATCATTGAAATTATAAAGATGGTATTAATCAACAAGAGTAGTTTCCAAACTTAGGCAAACTGAAAGATAATTATACATTGACATATAATTAATATTTAACTTCCAATATTTCAAATTATCTTATTCCTATGTAAAGAATATTGATTATAAAACCAATGTGGATTTTTTTTCTTTATGGTTAAGGCTTTCCTGTAGGAATAAAAAAACAAACAGAAAATCAAACCTTCTAAATTAGTTTAAAATGTTTATTTAGTTATTGTAGATCAAATTTTCTGTGAATTTATTAAATATAAAACATTTTTTAAAAGCCTCGGTATCAACGTTCTGTAATTCTCAAATAAATGTATATAGATAAAAGTAAATTACACTTCTGGCAGAATCCTTGATGAAAAGGTTCAGATATTTCTGATTAATTAACAAAAGTTTATAGCATGCTCTCTAAGAATCTGATAAAAGTAAATGCCTTCATTGTTTACAGGAGAATGTAAAAAAAAGGTAACACCACAACTAAGAATATTAAACAATTATGCAGTGTGGAAGGAAGATATGTAAATTAACAAATTCTTTAAAGGACAAGTTATTGACTCTTCATTTTCTGTATTTTTTTTTAATACTCTTTATTGATTTTTTACAGAAAGGAGGAGAGAGAGATAGAGAGCCAGAAATGTCGATGAGAGAGAAACATCGACCAGCTGCATCTTGCACACCCCCCACCGGGGGTGTACCCGCAACCAATGTACATGCCCTTGACGGGAATCGAACCTGGGACATTTCAGTCCGCAGACCGATGCTCTACCACTGAGCCAAACCGGTTTCGGCCGTTTTCTGTATTTATAATCATTCATAAGAATATGGTTTTACTTTAATCTAGATCAGCGTTTTTCAACCGCTGTTCCCGTGGCACACTAGTGTGCCGCGAGATGTTGCCTGGTGTGCCGTAGGTGCAGACAAGACAAGAATTTTATAATTTTTCACTATTTTGTTTACTTAATATTTCATAATAAAGTAATTATAAAATACTTTCTTTGTGTTTATTTGATTCCTATTCAAGAGAATTACTTTATATATAGTCAATATAGGCACAGAGTTAAATTTTTTAACATTTTCTAATGGTGGTGTGCCTCGTGATTTTTTTCATGAAACAAGTGTGCCTTTGCCCAAAAAAGGTTGAAAAACACTGATCTAGATAACATAAAAATGAGTAAGTGTATTTATCCTGTAATACTCAAAACTAAGTTTTTCTAATATGCCTATTATCACAGTCACAGATTTGTAAAGTTATTACCAATTTTTTAAATGTTAAAGTTAATTAAAATTTTCTAGGAACAGAGAGGTTGAGGCAGTGAGAATTTGAGATTATAGACATAGACAGAGATAGAGTTTTGCTGGAATTTTTTAAATTAATGGATTTTATATGTGTATGCATTCTATCAATATGTGTAAATATGTGTCCATATACACATATAGGCACAGATATACCTATACACAATAAAGTGTACAACTTAAGTAGACACCTGTGCAACCACCATGTAAGTCAAAATAAAGAGCATTTCCAGAGGGTTCCTGTGGCCACAGCAGAGCGGTCAATGTGAAGAATAAATGTGTACTAAATCTGATAAGTATAATACACACTGAACACTCACCTTCCAATGGTTTGGGTAGAAAATGAGCTGCTGGTTTCGTTTTCTTTACTCTGTTTCCTTTCATAACTTGCCCTTCTTTATTCAACCCCAAAAACCAGGCTCTACCAGATTCTTGTTGTCTGTACAGCATAGATGAGTAGATTACATAATAGTTTTCAAAAACAGATTCTTTAAACTTGCATTCAGGGGTAAAAAGTTCCTGCCAAGAGAAAAGGAAGAAAAGAAGGTTAGAGGAAGGAACGGGGGTTTCACTGTGGTTTCTCTTCTTTCCTCCAGGAGTTTGTTCACCAAGTTGAAGGAGTCAGCTCTGGGGCAGGGATGGCCACATGCACCTCTTCCTACCTGCACAACTTATCCATACATTTTTCCAATACACAAAATACAATGAATAGAGAATCTGCCGTTATCAAGAATATATTGTATTTATAGACAAAAGTACAAGTGTTCTTTAATAAGAAAATATGTCATAAGCAAACTCAAAACATCTTTTTACTTAAACAAAAAACAATGCAATCAGAGTATAACCAGAAAGAAGACCACAAAGCAGTATCATATCCACAATATACTAAACAAATATCAAATATATATTTCAGGTGTTTGTAATCCATAGGGACAGTATATGATACCCTAATAGCAGCCAGTTGTTCATTAGATCACTGATATTAGAGGGTGATACATTTTACCAACAAAGAGACAAATGGAAACCCCAAACTAAAATCACAACTATCAGCTGGCACACCAACTAGCTCCTATTGCTGAGTCCAGGTGTGCTAGCTGGTCAGAGTGACAGAGGTGAAAATAATTACCTAATTCCATGGTTTGGAGCCACATTGGAGAAAAATATCCGAAGGTGCCCTAACTGAAAACAATGAGATAAGTGCTATAACTCTCAATGCCATGATCTATATTGATTGATGAGTAGCACAAAGCTTTACTACTTTATGATTATCATTGAGTTTTGTCATTTTTAAAAATATCACTCTACTTGAAAAAAAATTACCTTAATAGGTTTTTATGACTACAGAAAAAACTAACTTTCATTTTTCTTTTAAAACATAATTTTCTATTCTATTTCTATTTCTATTTATTTATTTATATATTTTTTAAAAATATATTCTTTAGGGCCTAAAAATTAAAACTTTTAAGAGTTGAAGTTATGTAACCATAATAAGGAATGTGTTATAATTGCCAATAGAAACTTTCCTTCAATATTTCCCATGAGAGTATGAATTATCAACTAGTGTCTCTTGCAGGTTATAATTTATGCAGAATAATGCATAACTCTAATTAATCCACTGAAAGCAAATAGTTTGCCAAGAGGAAGATGCTTTTTATGACAAAAGTGGAAAATCCAATTATTACTTGATGATAGCAGAATAGCCAAAAGATAGGCTTAGCCTCCTTCCAAAGGAATTATGTAGACCTTCACTTTTTCTAGATGATTCTACCTCAGACATGATGATGATCCTGTTAAAATAAATGTTCTGGCCTTCCACTAAATTCTATTTCTCCAAATACCCTCTTATTGGATCTCTCACTAATAAATAACACTCTCTCCCAGTCAATCTCCAGACCCGCCTCAGAGGAAAAGCTAGCAAAAGGGGGCTTGTTCATACATTTGTGGTGAGGAAAATAAAATGAAACACTGTAAATCTGGCTTATTCTCAAAAGACTAATAAATATAATATACTAGAGACCCAGTGCACATATTCATGCACCGGTGGGGTCACTCAGCCTGGATTGTGCCCTCTCCCAATCTGGGACCCCTCAGGAGATGTCAGACTGTCAGTTTTGGCATGATCCCCTGCGGCAGTCGACATGCCCTAAGGGATGTAGCAGTGCGGGAAGTGGCAAGTGGCCAGGGAGGAGCCCAAGCCGGGGCCAGGCACTGCTCACACTCATCCCAGTCCCACAGTGCCTGCTGCTGCCACCACCACCACTCGTTGGTAGTGCTGCTGCAGAGGCAGGAGAGGCTCCACATGTGTAGCTGTGCTCACCAGCCTTGAATCCGGCTTCTGGCTAGGTGGCATTTCCACTGTGGGAGTGCACCAACCACCAGGGGACAGCTCCTGCACTGCACTGAGTGTCTGCCTCCTGGTAGTCAGTGAGCATCATAGCTACCAGTCGGTCAACTGGTTATTTGCCTGTTCGTTCACTTAGGCATATATATATATATATATATATATATATATATATATATATAGGGGCACAAAATTCATGCATAAGGGGGTGCCCCTCAGCCCAGCCTGCACCCTCTCCAATCTGGGACCCCTCACATCTCACAATCCAGGATTGCTGGCTCCCAACTGCTTGCCTGCCTGCCTTCCTGATTGACCCTAATTGCTTCTGCCTGCCAGCCTGATCATCCCCTAACCACTGCCCTCCCAGCCTGATTGATGCCTAACTGCTCCCCTGCCAGCCTGTTTGCCCCTAATTGCCCTTCCCTGCAGGCCTGGTCCCCCCCAACTGCCCTCCCCTGCTGGCCATCTTGTGTCAGCCATCTTGTGTCCACATGGGGGCAGCCATCTTGTGTGTTGAAGTGATCAATTTGCATATTACTCTTTTATTAGATAGATGCCTGGTGCATGGATGGGGACCAGCTGGTTTGCCCTGAAGGGTGTCCTGGATCATGGTGGGGGTTCCCTTGGGGTGTGGGGCAGCCTGGGCGAGGGGCCTGTGATGGTTTGCAGGCTGGCCATGACCCTCGGTGACCTGAGCAGAGGGCCTGGTATCTGGGATTTATTTATCTTCTATAATTAAAACTTTGTAGCTTCAAGCAAAGGCCAAAGCAAGTCAAGGCTACAGAAGTTTGGTTTCCTCCATCGTCAGGGGAAACTCAAGCCTCCTGCTCTCTCCGTGGTCACAGCCATCTTGGTTGGGTTAATTTGCATACTTGCTCCTGATTGGCATGGCTTGTGGGTGGAGTGGAGTGATGGTTAATTTGAATATTTCCCTTTTATTAGATAGGATAGATTGGTTGAAAGTGCACCTTCTAGGACAAACAGAAGAGATTTATCTTTTTATTGAGATATACCAAGACATCCAAGTATATTATTTATATTACTTATTAGTTAAAACCTATATCAAATCTAGCTTATGCAAGCTGAGGTCATTTAGGGGTCAGAGGAGCTGGCATCTGCCTTCTGAAAACCAGCTCTCTGCCCAACAACTGGCTCACCTTATTGAAAGGATCATTGATGACTGATTTTTTTCTAGAGAAACAACGGCCTCCAGCTTTGGAAATTCAGATCTATAGGGTAGTCAATCCTTAGTCTTATCTGATCCCCGCTGCAAAAATGTAAGAAACATGGAGGATACTGCTTGTATTAGCATTAGAAAACTGGAAATGTCTTGTCTTCACTCTAAGTTGACTACAAGGAATATTAAAGAGAAAGAAGACAGTTGATGTGGAAGAAATTACTCTTTCTCTGAGTATACCTTAAGGACATCTGACAGTGAGTATTTTTACCAGTAGATAAAATACTGCATCTTAATATTCTTAGGTAGCCAATTCCACACCCCCTTTCTGTGAGCAGTGCCAGAGGTTTCATATTATAAATAGGTGATTCTTTCAATCTCCTTCAGTGAGAGCCATTTCTTCAGTTGCTTGCGATGGTAGAGACTGGTCAGTATATTTTCAATCTTCTTTATTCTTGGTTAAATAACTAATATATGCACAAATGTACTACATTCAAAGGCACTATTCCCTAATACATTTTGTTAGACTACTCAAGAATTTAATCTGCTCATCAATTATTGGAGTACAGAAAGAATCCCTGCATTCCCAGAAGTACTTAATGAAAATTAAGATTAATTATTATTTATTAGTGGTCATAAGGGACAAATATACATAAATGGGAGGCAGTGGAGTAAAGTGTCTATGAACACCATCTGTGCAACCAGATCTCCTGGGACTCAACCCTGGCCCCACTTCTTACCAGCTGTGTCCTTGGGGAAATTACTTATTCTCTGGCCTTCAATTTCTGCCTCTCTAAAAAGAGTACAAACCCATAGAATAATAGAATGCTTGGGAGGATTGAGTGAATTAATACTTGTTATTATTTAGAAGAGAATGTGGTATACAGTACATACTCATTACTTATTAAAAAAAATTCTCCATCACTTATAATCTAAAATACAACTAGTATCAATTATTTCAATTCTATTAATATTTCAGTAAGTGAAAATTTAGGTAAATAATTAGTCAATGAGCACAGTTAGGCTCAGTATCAGATACACCAAAATGAACATATACAAAGCAAACAAGATTCTTCACCGGTAGAATGTTGTTCAAAGTCTTGTGATTAGAAAAAGACAGAACAGTGTAATATCTGTTGTGATAGACTTACCTTCAAAATGCTAGAGGGATGATAGGCATAATAAGTGGTGTGAAAGACAGTGGTGGGAAATGCCATAGTACATTTGAAGAACTATAATTAATCCATTACTAAGGCTTTGTGGGGGCAGCACTGGATAGTAAGATGGGTTGGATGAATGTGACAAAGGATCTTGGACACTCTGATAAACAGACTAATTTCTTAGAAGCAAGAGGTAGATGTAAAGGGTTCTTAAATAAGCAAGGGCATAATGGCATAGCCTGATTAGGAATTACTTAATTTCTGGTCTTCAGTTTCTGACTCTCTAAAAAGTGTACAAAACCATAAGATAATAGAGTGGTTGGGAGGATTGAATGAATTAATACCTCCTATATAGTAAAAGGCTAATATGCTAAGTTTATGGTCATCCTGTCCTACATTCAACCAATCAAAGCATAATATGCTAATAATATGTGAAGGCAGTGGTTCTCAACCTTTTTAATGCCATGACCTTTTAATATAGTTCCTCATATTGTGGTGACCTTCAAACATAAATTTATTTTTGTTGCTACTTCATAACTGTAATTTTGCTACTGTTATTAATTGTAATGTAAATTTCTGTGTTTTCTGATGGTCTTAGGTGACTCACCCTGCTAGCAATTTTCAACCTGTGGGTTGCCACCCACAGGTTGAGAACTGCTGTTGTAGAGCCTAAGACCATAGGAAAACACAAATATTTACATTATGATTCATTAACAGTAGCAAAATTACAGTTATGAAGTATTCCTGGAATCCAATTATGCACCAGTGGGGTCCCTTGGCCTAGCCTGCACCCTCTGGCAATCCGGATCCCCTCAGGGGATGTCAGAGAGCCAGTTTCGGA